GGAGGAGGACTTTGTGGATTGGTGTTGGACATATGGGTTAATGTTGGACTTGTGGGCTTGGGCAGCACTGGGTTGGGATGTTTTCTTGATGTGCATTTAACTTTTATACAAAACTCTCTTATACAGGAGTTTCTGTGGATTTGTTTCTCTAATGCACCCAGTCTAACACAAATACTAAAAGCATATAACTGGCTCTTTTCTTAAAGATATATAAAAAGAATCAAATGCTACTGTGCAGGAAGATACCCACCCCTTGTCAGATACCACAACTTCTTCCAGGTAAAGAATACAACCCATCTGCCATATTGAATTGATATTTATTTCAGGACATGCCATGTCAAAATAAACCATAAGACTCAACCCTTGTACCTAACAGTTAGGGAGTCTTGGTGGTCTAGTGGGTAATGCACTGAGCTGCTGACTGTAAAGTCTGGGGTTCAAACACATATGTCACTTCTCGGGAGAAACATGAGGCTACCTGTTCCACTAAAGTTTTAAAGTCCAAATGTGCTTGATACAATTGATGTATGGATTGCTATAAGAGTTGTGAGAACCCCCAATAAAATGATTTATTAAAAAGATTTAAAGTCCTGGAAATGCAAACGATTCTCTGTTTTATAGGGTTGCCATGGATTGTAACTGATTTGATGGCAGTGAGTTATGATTGAAGTTATAAAGGATGTTTTTACTCATATCCGTAATCAACACTTTGGGAAGCAGCAGTCAAGAAATCAAACAACATATTGCACTGGGAAAATCTTCTGCAGAGCTCTTTAAAGCGTTAAAGAGCCAAGATATCACTTTGAGGGTTAATATGTGCCTAACCCAAGTCAGGTGTTTTTAAGCAGTTCATGCATGTGAAAGCTGGACAGTGAATAAGGAAGAATAAAAAGGACCAATGTGTTTGAATTATGATGTTGGCAAAGAACACCGAAAGTACCAAAGACTGCCAGAACAAACAAGTCTATCTTGAAATAAGTACAAGCAGAATGCTCTTAAGAAACAAGCAAAATTTTCTCTCACGTTCAGGAGAGACCAGTCCCAGAAAAAGACGTCATGCTTAGTAAGGCTGAGGGTCCGTGAAAAAGAGGAAGACCCTCGGCGAGAGAGAGTGATGCAGTGGCTGCAGCAATGGGTTCCCATAACAACTGTGAGGATGGCGCAGGACAGGGCAATGTTTAAGTCCGTTGTACACATGGTCACTGTGAGTCCGAGTTGACTCATGGGCACCTAACAACAACAACAACAACGTAGTAATTGCGCAAGTTAATTAATCTTCTCGAAGCTTGTTTTCCTGAGCTATAAGTATGATATTAAGTATGCCACTGTGTTGCTGTGAACATTAAATTACTACACACTTGTACATAAGGCACTTGGATAGAGCTGAGTCCTTAGCTAATAATAGAAACATAACAAATATCCATTTCTTCTTCAACACAAGCTGAGATATAAACTACACCACTCATGAAAGCTTAAAATCAGAGATCTTTGTGCATGGAAATTCAACAGGCTGAAAGCAGAGTTGTCTTGGCATGAGTTCAGAATCCATGCTGAATTTTAAAAGTTGCCTTTTCTAGCAGCAGGTTCTCTAACCTTGATGCTGACCTAATCATATACCCCAAACAAGACATTTCTTTTCTCTGAGCTCGGGCAGGAACAGGATATCACAATCCAGAGGATTTTTTATCATGATCCAACAGATGCAAGAGGAGGTAGCTTAAACTGGAAGGGTCTTGATGTACAGCATTACTGATAAATCTTTACAATGATCTTCAGAAGCAAACATGATTAAGGAAGCAATTTTACTAACAGATTACCAGGAAAACCCATCTGTTGCTACTGTCCAGTGACTACCCTATAATAAATTGATCACCCCATAAGAAAATGACCATCTTATAATAAACTGAAGGGTGTTAACCAATGTGTACATTTCATCATCCACGTTTACCCACGTAGGCGTTATTCACCTACTCCTACCAATTCCCCACTTTTGATACCTTATCTTTGTCTCTCCTGATTATCTTTTAGCCAATTATGATTTTGTAACTTTTAGTTACAAAACTGTATTGCCCTGACTATACAAAATGTATTTTTCCTCATTGTCAAACAGAGTATCCATTTTTACCTTGTGAATTTAAGCATGTTCCCAGTCTGGGTGGGCCATCTCTATCTCTCCCTTAACCTCTGTTGCTTTTACATTAAGCAGATTTCATGATATCGCTCTATGACAATTGTGAATACAAAACACACAAGAACCTAGATAAGGGTAGTATCTATTATGTCTCCCTGAACCCTAATCTGTGGGCTTCATGTTTATGAATGACAGAAAGCAGAAAAACCCTGATCAAAGTTGATGCACCACACTTTCTCTTAGGGACATCATAAAGGATTTGGTTAAAGGTATATAAATAAACATTCAATGTATCTCCCCTAATCACATGCCCAAAGATGTGGCACTCATTCTCCTTTTCAGAGAGGATCAGACTGGGGCTTAAAGAGATGACGGACCTTCTCCAAGATCACACTCCACCAATCTGTGCAGGGTCTGACTCACAGACTCATACAAATGGCTCTGAAGTCTATATTCTTTCCAACATAAGTCCATGTTACAACTATAGGGCTTAATGTATCTATTGCCAAACTATATTTTGGAAGAAAGTTTTATTTTGCTCATGGCAATAAGAATGAGAAGTGGAAGAAGGAAAACGACTTCAAAGAAAGAACACGAGTCAGGAAAAGAGCCCAACGGAAGGAAAGAATGGAGAAAGGGAAAGGAAGGTTGCAGTTTTCAAGAGAAGGGAAAGCTTCCCTCCCAAGCTGTCTTGGGAATGGGAGTTGAAAGAGAGAACTGATTGAAGAAAGTGTCCAGGAAGTTGTGCTATGTTGACCTTTATCAAAGAGAAGCATTAATACGGCATCTTACTTTGATTTTAAGGTTTTCTTACTCATAAAACAAAACATTAAATGTAAAAAAAACTCCCCGACCCAAAATTAATTCTGCCATCTTATTTTCTCCCTCAATTTTTCTAATACCCTCCACCCTCACACTTCTTCCTTCTTCAGCCTTCCTCTTTGAGGCCAGGCACATCTAAGTTAAATGCCAAAAGACATCAGAGTAGCTGGTGAGTGGAGACCTAGGGACTACCTTGTCAGTTGATCTCAGTCGAAAGGGAAGCATAAGGTTCAATTAATATTAATCGTGTGAAGGTTAGCCAATGGTTAGCCTTCCATTCTTCTCCCTCTTCTTCCCGTTATCAGCTCATTGTAATTAGCCTACACTGTGTCTTTTTTTTTTTTGGTGGGGGATGGAGGAGGCAGAATGGTTTCCTTAAAGCCTCCAGAATAGTTTCTCAGAATGCACCTGCTCTTTTGATTCCGTTGAATTCTGGTTAGTCTTAACACTTTAAAGCGCCCTTTTGGTATTTGTTCTGGATAACTTTCAGTCTAGACCTATGTCACTCTTACTGTTTCTGAATTCAAGTTCGAGTTTCTTCAGAATGCTTTACTGTGGGAAGGGGAACGTCTCCAGGAAAGAGCAGACATACAGTTTTACTTGGATTGCACCTCTCATCCACGGAGCGAGAATACCAATACATACCAATACAGGGACTCAGGAACTGGTTTGGGAACTGGGACTTGGGATCTGCAGAAAACAGACAATATTAGGAGGAAATTACTGCTGAGGGTTTGCATTGGCCTGTAGTTAGGGGCCCTGGTGGTGCTGGTGGGTAAGCATTTGAGCGCTAACCATAATGCTGGCCGTTCGAACCCACCAGCTGCTCTAAGAGACAAAACTATCTGCTCCCCGAAGCCCTATGGAGGCTTGTTATGTGTTGGAATCAACTCAGTGTCAGGGGCTCTGTTTCCAGTATAACTATAAATAGCGGGTTACTAGTTGGGTTGCTAGCTGCAAGGTTAGCAGTTCAAAACCACCAGCCACTACACAAGAGAAAGATTCATCATCTCAGAAACCTAAAGGGACATTTCAACACTCCTGTAGGATCACTATAAATCAAAGTCAACTCAATGGCATTGAACTTGTTTTGGGAAATATAAATAGTAAGCAAAAGAAAGTCAAGTGATCACTCCCTGCAGCTACTGGCAAGCTTGGGAAACCGTAAACTGTGCTCTAGGGACCAGAGAACAGCAGTCCCCTTAAAGCAGGCAGGCAAACAAACCCAGATTCTTCCTGTGTTTACATCCCCCAACAGAAATAGAGGTGTCCCGATATTGGAACCTTTCGTTTTTGTTGTTAGTTGCCATTGAGTCGGTTATGAATCACGGTGATCCTGCATGTTATCGAGCAGAATGGCTCCATAGGCATTTTTTGCTGCCATCTTCATGGAAGCCGGTCACCAGACCTTTGCTTTATTGGTGGGAGTAATAGGTGGGTTTGAACCTCCAACCTTTAGGTTTGCAAGCAGATGCAAACCATTGGACAACCCAGTGACCTTTGGGGCAGAAAATATATACTATCCTTCTTTGGAAAACAGATTAACTACTCAAGCAAGGCAGCTGGCACTAGAGAGTAAGGTACAAGTGCTTCTTGGAGGGCTTATGAAACCAAACCTGTACCTTTTACAACCCTTGTTCTTCGGAAGGTAGACAGGAGACCAATGAGAGCCAGAGGACTGGGAGAATGGAGATGTTCAGGGAAAGGCCATATTAAAATTGCTGTGGTTGATTAAGATGATAGAAACACTAGACTATGAAATAAATATTAGACCAAAGTTTTGAGACCTTGATTTTAAAAAATGAACAGAGGAACATTTTATGCTACTGTATGACATAATACACCACAGAGAAGGATTGGTTGAGGGAGGTAGAGGATTCATATCCCAAAAGGGAACATAACAGAGAAATATGTGAAAAAGAAAAACAAAATGTGGACTATAATCAAGATGTTAGACTAATAAATTAACAATCTAGCATTCAGGTTTACATACTAAACCAGCAGTGAAAGAGCTACTCTTTTTTTACTTAAAGAGTTTAATTGACCTATAATTAACATATCATAATCAATATTTCAGTCACATTAAGAAAGGCTGCACAATCATCACCATGATCGACTTTAGAACACTTTCTTCCTATTGTATCCATTGCGGGTGACTCCCTTTCCCTGCCCGTCTCCTCTTCGCTGGCTCCAGGTGATTAGTACCAGCTGCTGTTTGCACAAGAGAGCTACTCTTGATGTTCCCTGAAGATAAACACTCAAGAACGGAGATAAGAATGGGGGCTTGTTGCTGCTGCCAAAGTCACAAGACCAAGAAATCTGGTAATGGCTATCTGGACTTTACTGGGACATCCTGAACTAGCCAAGTAATTGAGGAAGATGTGGGAATCACCTTTAGCTTTTTTGGGAAATTTCACCATACTTTCATTAAGGTTTTTAAAGCGCTGATATTCCTCTTTGCTTTGGGGACCATTTGAGTCCTTCAGGATTCTGCCTGTGTGTTTCATGTATAAACTCTTAGGAGGATCAGATCCTCTTCTTACCTGTTCTGCTTAGAAGGATCTTTGCGTAGTCTGGGTCATAGATATAGAGAAATGCCTGAAAGGGCCCAACCCATCGAGGGAAGGCACAAGGATATTTTTCTATAATCTCCGACAGCTTCTCTATTTCATCATCCTGAAGTAACTGCAGTGGGGAAAAAAAGGAAGTTAGAGAAGTTCATCATTCTGGAAACACATGCCCTCTTACAAATACAAGCGGAGTTTGGAACCTGGATATGGTTACCTATTTAGAGAGACCTGAACCCTTCTCTGGAAGTGGATAAGCATGCTTTCTCTGGGATTTCAAAGCTTAGGATATAATTTCCTAATAAGGCTGGTGTATTTATCTTTTCACTATGTATATATTTTGTACCCCTAGATCAAGGCACTATTGAATGACGCACACTGTTTCCCCATCAGAGAGGGTGAAGGGGATGGAGTCATTGCTTTCTTCTGTCTCATCTACCAACAACATATATTTAGATTAGGAGTGGTGTCTGGGGGTTGAAAAATATTTGTCGTGTGGGAATCTAGCTAGTTAGCAGAGCAAACACGACACCCCTAACATTCAGCTCGCTCTTTTGTCTCTCTTGCTGATGTCGTTAGGTGTCATTGGTCAGTTCTGCCCCATAGCAGCCCTGTGCACAGCAGAATGAAACACTTCAAGGCCCGATGCTATCCCACCATTGTTCTCATGCTTTAACTCATTCCTGTCACTGTATCAATCCATCTCACCGAGGGCCGTCCTCTTTTTGGCTGCCCCTGTACTTTATCAAGCATGATGTTCTTCTGCAGGGACTGGTCCCTCCCGATAACACGTCCAAAGTACCTAACACCAAGACTCGCCATCCTTGCTTCCAAGAAGCACTCTTCCAAGTGGGATTTGTTTGTCCTATTGCAATACTTTCAATATTCTTCTCCAGCACCACAATTCAAAGGCACCAATTTCTCTCTGTTCTTCCATATTCAGTGTACAAATTTCACATGCGTATGAGGCAACGGAAAATATCATGGCTTGGGACAAGCACACCTTAGTTCTCAACATAACATCCTTGTTTTACAATATTCTAAAGAGGTCATGTGCAGCAGATTTACCCAATGCAATATGTCATTTGATCTCTCGACTACTGCTTCCATGAGCATTGATTGTGGATCCAAGCAACACAAAATCTTTGACAACTTTAATCTTTTCTCCACTGATCATGATGTTACCTATTGTTCCAGTTGTGAGGATTTGTTTCCTTTACATTGAGTCATAATCCATCCTGAAGGCTGCAATCTTTGATCTTCATCAGCAAGTGTGTGGTAGTTACATAATCTGGTGTCAACTTGAGAATATTAAGAGTGAAGGAGTGAAGTTTAGCCTGTCAATCAAGTCGCAGCTTCATGACTTTATTTGGAACTGCAATGGAGATAAATAGCTCACTGGAGGCCAGATACACTCTCTCCCTGAGAGGCATTCCTGTTGACAAGCCATGCTGATAGACCCAGAGCCCTGGAGCAGGAGGAGGCACGTGGAAATGCACGCCAGCACTGAGATGATTCCATCACACTGAATCCACAAGACTTTCCACCCACTGGCCTATGATCTTCCTGCATGGCTGCGTGAGTCTAAAGAGGAATTTATGGATTAGTATCGACATATGGGGTAATGTTGAACTTATGGACTTGATCTGGAATTTATGGACTAGTATCAACATATGGGGTAATATCGGACTTAGGACTTGATCTGGACTGGGCTAGGATGTTTTCTTAATGTACAATTGCTCTTTGATATAACGTTCTCTCACACACATATGGGTGTCTATGAATTTGTTTCTCTAGTCCACCTGGACTAACACAAAATGCATCATGTTCTGACTTTCAGCAAGCACATTTGTCATCTGCTTATCTCAGGTTATTAATAAGCCTTCCTCTAATGCTGATGCCACTTTCTTCTTTATACAACCCACCTTCTCTGATGATTTACTCAGCACACAGATTGAATAAGTATGGAGAGAATATACAAACTTGTGGCATACTTTTCCTGATTTTAAACTATGCTAAATGATTTTAAACTTATTTTGTTTGCACAACTGCCCCCCTCTCTTTTTTTATAACAGGTTTCTTGACACTTCTTTCACATATCATCCAATTCAATAATTCAGTTGTAGCAAGAAGAATTGTACAATCATTACCACAATCAATTTTAGAACATTTTCTTCTCATTTTAGTATAATTATTATTTTTTAAATTGTGGCAAAAAATATACACAACAAAACATTCTCTGATTCAACACCTTCTACACGTATAATTCAAGGCCATTGATTACACTCTTCATGTTATACAAGTATTATTGTTATCCTTGTCCAAATTATTCCACTGCCATTAACAAAAACTCAATGCCCCCTAAGCAAAAACTGTTCTTCCTTCACCCATGGTCAAAACTTTAGTTTCTTTTTCATTTATTTATTTTTTTTAGTAGTTTTCTTGGCATAAAATTCACATATCATACACATCCATAATTATGTCAGTTTTAAAAAGAGTTGTGTATACATCATCATGATCAGTCCTAGTGCCCCTCCTCTCTCCATTCATTGTTTGCTTCCCAATTCCCTTCACCCTTCTCACCCTCCATCTCTGATAAACCATTGCATCAGTTATTCTCTCTATGAATCTATTCCTTCTGAGCTTCATAAACATGGAAAACTAACCTAAGTAATAAAAAACAAAATAAAACATAAAGAAGAAAACAGCAGTAATAATAACAATCATATAAAGATAAAAATAAAGATTAAGAAAGAGAAGACCAGGGAAATAGATCTATGTGCATATATTTATAGGTTTAGTATTAAAGCAGCAGATGAACATTGGACCTCCACTCAAGTACTTACTCAATGCAAGAATACTTTGTTCTATTAAATTGGCATTCCATGATGCACACCTTCCTCACAGGATCGCTGAAGAAAAATGTATGCATAAGCAAATGTGAAGAAAGCTGATGGTGCCCAGCTATAAAAATATATAGCATGTGGGGTTTTAAAGGCTTGCAGGTAAACAAGCAGCCATGTAGCTCAGAAGCAACAAAGCCCACATGGAAGAAGCACACCAGCCTGTGTGACCACGCTGTGTCAAAGGGACTAGGTATCAGGTATCAAAGAACAAAAAATCATATCAGTCGGTGCCCACCTTCCCGATATGATCTCTGAAGACAAATGTTTGCATAAGCAAATGTGATGAAGAAAACTGATAGTGCCTGGCTATCAAAAGATAGAGCATCTGGGGTCTTAAAGTTGAAGATAAACAAGCGGCCATCTAGCTCAGAAGCAGCAAAGCACACATGGAAGAAGCATACCAGCCTGTGTGACCACGAGGTGTCAAAGGGACCAGGTATCAGGTATCAAAGAACAAAAAATCATATCATTGTAAATGAGGGTGAGTGCAGAGTGGAGACCCAAAGCCCATTGGTAGGCAACTGGACAGCCCCTTAAAGAAGGGTCGTGGGGAGGAGACGAGCCAGTCAGGGTGGAGGGTAGCAATGGTGAAACATACAACTTTCCTCTAGTTCTTAAATGCTCCCTGCCCCAACTATGATGATTCCAATTCTACCTTACAAATCTGGCTAGTCCAGAGGATGTACACTGGTACAGATAGGAACTGGAAACATAGGGAATCCAGG